TGTATTGAAAATAAAATAATTATCCTTAAGTACTTGTAGCTGGACAAAATAAATTAAAGAAACGAAATTGCACATCCTATGAAATATTTAATAAAGTTTTTAAATTTCTATTTTTATGATTGATCAAAATTGCATTAAATATTATTATTAATTATTATTAAAAGAACCAAGTGCAATCAACAAAATTCAAAAAGACGTTTCATTTACAATATTATTAGGTATATAAATGATTATTTTCCAAATAATGAATAAATAAAGGAACTTACGAGTAGCAATTTTACCCAAAGTACAGAGAATACGCTGAATTTAAAGGCAAAACATGTTATATTACAAGTGGTTTGTTTGCATTAGTAGGAATAATATGCTTTTAAAAGTGGCTTTTGAAATAACTTCGTTACAATGAAATAACTAATTGGGTTTCGATAGTCGTAAGAATTTTACGACGCAAATGTTCTTTAGACTATTCGTCTAAAATTCATCTAAAAAATCATTTTTTGAGTTACTATTGGACGAATGTTCGTTAATTGAAAATTAACTTTCATAATCGCTCAGATAATTGCGTATATTATTGCGTCGTTTCGATCATTATGTTCATCTTCACCAAGAGTCGCCGAGCACGAAGTCAAGCCTACAGATTTCTGACAGGTTAATTAAAAAAATTTCATTTATTTTTCTTCTACGGCGTGTAGCGGATAACTAAAACTTTTGATGAATATTAATTCGCTTAAAGCTATAAGTATTTTGTACAACAAATATAAAACTTCAATAAATGTGTTAAATGGTTTCGAAATCCTCTTTCACAACACCGCGTCTATTCAGGCCTTGGGCAGGACGAAAGTACACCCATTAATTCGCCCAACAATTCGATACTATGTTTTTCAAATGGGGGATAGATGGAATTGTCTGAAAATCGAATGAATATGGCGCCATTTCGAATTTTTATTAAAATTAAAGCCGCTTTGGCAGATTTCCAGGGTCAGCGGATCACGCGTCCCGTCGGCTTTGCGCGCTTCCTTTCTCTCTCGCCTGGGCTACGTTTTTTCCTTCTCCCCCACTACCACGCCTTATTCGCTCTTTTATCCATTTGCGCGCGTTGACCGTGTTTTGGGAGACATTTTGACCCTCGAATTCTTGACCGGACAATGTTGTTCGTGACACGCGAATCGATCGATAAATCGCATCGAGAGGGTATGTGCAATTCTTGGATAAACTTATCGTGAAAGATCGGCATAATAATGTTAAATAAATGGCATAGCGAGACTTGTCGCTTTCCAAACAGTTTTATTCAAATTCCTTGCTAGTTTGTTGGTCCCATTCCTTCACTTTCACTTGCCAGTATAATTGAAAATCCCAATGGCGGTTCATCCAAATTTACAATATTGTCCCATTTAACGAGTTTCACGTTGTGTAGAGCAACAAACAAGAGCACTTTCATGATTTACAAAAGGTCACTCGTTGAGCATCATCGTTCGATACATGCAGCCTTCGTTGAATTTAGCTAGATCGCCAGGTCGATTGTAACTCCCCGATCACCTCGGACGTTGATTTCTCTCATATAAAGTTTGAGAATTCGCAGGTAGGTACGACCGGACGATTCCTCGTTCACGGAGTATTTCGGAGTCGGAGAATCAGCCATAGAAAAAGACGCCGCAATTAGGTTCGGCGGTTAACGGAGGCGGACGGTGCGTGAGCGCCGGTGGGCGGGGGTGGGCCAGGAACGTAGAGGGGTTGAAAGTGGTGCGCGCGCGGGCGCGCGCACTGCCGGCGGCGGTGGAGGCAGTGACGGTGCTAGTGGCGGCGTCGGTGCGGCTCCCGCTCGTCGTCTAGTACACGTTCGTCCAGGTCGCGAGGCGCACCGCGCGCCGCTCCCTCAACGACCCGCGATGTGAGCCCCGGGAAGATGCGCGTACCGTTGGTGCTGCTGGGGGGCATCGTCGTGCTCTCGGTCGCGGTGGCCAGAGCACTTTCCTGCGTCTGCTCGCCCCTTGAGTGCGACACCCTCACCAACGACGACTGCCCAGGCGGCCTCACCTGGGACCCCTGCAAGTAAGCCACGTGGCCGACGACTTAATCCTCTCGCTTCGTACGCTTCCTCACGCTCTTGTCTTTCACACGGCGATATCGCACAACCTTAACCCGATTGCGTAATTCATTATCATTATTCCTTGTCCATCCTGCCTTTCTCCTTCCCTCTCCCTACCCACCCACAAAACACTAATCATCGGTGTTATAGACTTTGTTGCCCGGCTCGTCGTATGATGATGCAATTTCAGGACTGTAACAATTACCTCCGACTTACTAGTTTTATGTTATATTTCAAGGGTTGTCGTTTATTTAAATGCCAAAGTGGAAGTTACTCACCTGAGCTGTCTATTTAACAATTACGCGAGAAGAACATCGGAGTAGCGAACGCTTAGAGTTTATACTTGTATTTCTTGTAAATAATACAATATATAGATATTGTTTCTCTGTAGGCAATCAACCGACTGTTAAAACATACGAAATGCAATCATTAATATTAAATTGTTAAAATATAGTGCCATTGTATAGGTAAAATATTGATAATTTTTACGCTAATATGTTATTATTTAATATTTTTCATTCATTATGGAAATTAAAGGGAATATAATATTTGTGTTTCGTTTGCCCTCGAATAAGCCTATCTCCAATATTTTCTTTGTAAAATATTTGTGTTTCGTTTGCCCTCGAATAAGCCTATCTCCAATATTTTCTTTGTAAAATATTACTAAAAAAAAAAAAAAAAAAAAAAAAAAAAAAAAAAAACAAAAAAAACCACAAAAAAGAAAAAATTACAAAAATGTATTGGTTGTCATCCTATGGGCTTCGTTTATTATATGGCAATTCAAACTGTAATTGAAGAATTCAGAAATTATATTTCAAACGATTTTCTACTCCGTTGTCGAGTGATTAAGAAAATTTTTTTTTTTTAATTTTTTGTTAAAAGTTTTAGTAAATAATATGATGATTATTTTTTTTATCATATGAATGATAATATATAAAAATTCAATATACTATTTAGTAAACATTTAAATATCTCATAATAATAGTGAATAGTAATGGTAAAGGAACCTTATTAAAACTAATTACAATTAAAAAGGAAACTAAAAATTCTACTTGTAATTTGACGTTCACAAATATCTATATTTTCTTAGATTACTACGAGATCTAATATACATTTACAAACTTAAAAAAATTCTAAAGCGCATAGAAATATATTTCTTTATTTTCATTCAGCAAAGAAATATTATTTTTTCAATGAAAATGAAAATGTTTGTTTTTCACCAACAAAACGTATAGGAAAATTAACGTAAAATTGTCATCTAGATTAGCTATTGAAGATTCTCAAAGCAAATGTTTCTTATTGAAGCCTTAAAATATAATGTACAACATGTCAGTACAATTTCAATGGCGAGACGCAGCATCTTGTCATTATCTATTATAAAATTTAACCATAATCACTGTTGCATTGCTTAGTGCTAAATTACTTAAAAATTACAATACAATTTTTTAAATTTGTTACCCTTACTTTTTATGAATGCACTTATTAGAAGCCTTAAACAGCCTCATATTGAACCTTTGTACTTTAAAATATTTTTCAAAAAATATATTTTTATAAAAGTACTTTGAAGTACGATTTCGTGAAAACCAAATAAAATTCACGACAAAATGTACCTTCGGTAGTGTTCATGTCTTTCGCTATTTTAAAGATAAGAAATTATTCGCACAATTAGCTTTTAATATTAATATTTTATAGAAATATTAAAAATATAATAATAACAAAAAATTTTTCAGAAAATAATTATTTTTATATTATTGAATAAATTTTGACTAGTTGAGTTCTCCTTGTTAAAAGCTTTTCACTTTAATAATGTAAAATATGAATAAACGTGAAATATTTATATATTTATAAAATAAATACATTATATTATTTATAATATATTTATATTTATGATTAAGATATCAATTTAGAGGATCAAATTATTAAAATTTTTTTCAAAATGATATTTGTAAAAATATAAAGGAGTGTAATAGAAATTGATTATCCGTATTCAATTACGTATGGCACATTTTTTATTTGCAATACCGCGATTGAAGAATGTAACATATCCAATATAATGGTGATTTGTATAAAATTTCTTTTCATATATCAGCATTACTTCATTTTTCTATTTAGATGTATTGTCAAGTAGAAAATATATAATTATATCGTATTTATCTTGAGTATATGAAAATTATTTAAATAGATGATTCAAGAATGTGTGAAGTTTCTATAATCATAGTAAGGGGACGCAAGATATATTCATATATGAACTTCAAATATTCTATAAATTTTTAAATTGTATGAATTTGTATGAAATCATTGATATTATTTCTTATCGTATATTTACAAGCTTTAAGTAATTGACTGCGCAAATGATGTATCATTAATTTACAATTTTCGGAGAAGAATATCAATGTGGCTGCCATATTGTTCGAATCTCCATAAGCATTTTCTTATATTTTTTAAGTTTATTTAATATTAAATTTAGTTGTTTGTGAAATATACTTTTTTTGTTATAGGAGAATTAAAAAAAAAAAAAAAAAAAAAAAAAAAAAAAATACATAGCAAAATCACGTATATTCAAGTAGTTATGATAAATTTACAACGTTGACTATAAAAATATTAACTCGAATAACATTGGAAAAAAACTAATTAATTTTTTGTAAAAGGTAACTTTATTAAGTTTCTTGTATATACGAGCTAATCATGTTACCGAGAGTAAAGTTCTTTCGCTATTAATGGAAAAAATAGTACATAACAAAGTTATTATTTAATAAAATACAATCTTTATTTGGTTTATATTCATAACTATTATATAAATTGATTAAGTATTATTGTTCGCGTGAATGGTATGAAAATAGAAAATTAAGATCACGTGGTCTATTCGGTTTTTTTTTTTCAATCTTTGTTTCAACAAGTCTACATTTGATCGTAATATGTGGAACAAATTATGTATTTGTATGAGAATCTTAAGAAGTTGTAGTAGTAAAACATTTTCTTTTACGATCTGCTTCATTAAGATTAAAATAATAATTGAAAATATAATTTGTACCGAGTCGGGCACTTGCAAGGGAAAAATATCGTATCGATTACTCCTCTCGATACATATAAAGGATATTAATGACGTACCTTATGAGATTAGGGGTAATATTTTTCTTATTTATTTATGATAAAACGATTTAAGTAAATTATTCATTATATATTTTTCAAAAAAGAGTACGTGAATTTTATAAATTTATACCGCTATACATAAGAGATTTATAAGTAGCTGAGCCGCTTTCGTTTATAATATAACAAAAAATTCAAACAAAATACAGAAAAAAAATTATAAAAAAATAAATAAAAAAGCCCGTTCACATATTTATTTTAATGGCACACAAAGAACATTGGAATTTTCTAGATTTTAACGCACTGTTTCAGCTAACTATTAGCCGCGTAGTATTAGTCACAAAATGTTGAGAAGGGAACAACGGAGCATAGGAAGATGAAGTTTTAATCGCTCAAGCAAATCATATTTCATTGTGACAACATAATTAAGAGGTCGCGTAGCTTTGGAGGTAAATTAACTTCACAGTGCCACGCAAGAAAAAGTTTACAATTACTCGCAGTCAGTGCGCGCCATCGAGAAAAAAAAAAGTCGCGATCAACCAGTGGAGATAGCCAACTATCTTTGGTACAAGCTTATAATAAATTGTTGAAGCTGAACAATCAATAGACGAAAAAGAGCCAACTTTCCTTGGCTCTCGGTTGCAGCAACAGTTTCTTGCTCGTTGTCTCTCTCATATTCCATATATTCCTCTTTAAGCCTGAGTCAGAGTCACAGGATAACGATTAAGCTGCGAAATTTTCGTATTTACACGGCGTTGGATGACGATCGCGAAATAAATGTGGCGAGAATTTACGAGAATGAACAAGAGGAGATCGGTACGAAAGCACCGAGGAAGTCGTTGCCTGATTCATTTTAGATTATTAAAGTTAATAATGTTTGTGTGCATGTTTAGATTTTTAGATGAAATATTTTTGTTAGTCCATCCTTTCTCTCTTCATGCATATTTTCTTCTTTGCAAATTCTCTTTTGATCCCCTAGATATATATATATATATATATATATATATATATATATATATATATACTTATTTCACTATTCGTTTATTATCGCAACACTTGACCTTGTTATTCGTATTAACATGATGAAACTAAGAGGCCAAAGTGAAGTAAGCTTAAACAAATTCCATTAAAGTTTCTCATCAACGTTTATGGTTAGATTAATATGATATTCTGCTTTTCAATAATCTTCCGCGTCATTGTTAAGAAACATTATTAATGCACGTATTGTTGCAGAATTTAAAACTCTAGTATATGTATTATAAGTCATTCTTATTTTATTTGAATATTTTATTATTTATAAGTTACATAGGAGCGTGTGCGTGAATACGTATGCGAACAATGCACACGCATTGGTAATAAATTCAATGAGATATTTCATGCAAACTTAAACAAATACAAACTTCGTACATTAAGGACAACAAAAATAGAGGTTTAAGCACGCACAATAACACAATAATTAAATTTATAATAAAAATTTCGCTTACCGAACTGTTATATTAGCAAAAAAAAAAAGAAAAAAAAAATAGTTAATGCACTTAAGAAATTCACTTTCTTCACATTTCCTCTATTCTTATTTTTTACTTTTAGAGTATACCGAAGAGTATGAACATATTTTTTAAAACTTGATTTTATTGTAACGACATAATTAACATAATGCGCTCTTACGGCTGCATAAAGTCAAGTGGTTGCAACAAATTTTTTGTAGCTTGACATTTTATAATTTTTTCATTTCATAACAGTGTTTAATAATTCTTTATAGAAAAATCTGAAAGTTCTGAAAATTAAAGTGAAAAAGGAAATCTTTCTCTCAATGTCCTTTAAATAATCTATCTTATGTAGGTTGCGAATTTTCAAAAACTATTTCTCAAGTTATGTATCGGATGAAATCGATAATTTATACATGTGTTGTGGGAAAATATTGGATAATGTCGTGCTATGCCTTGCACGAGATTACTCACTGTTTTCTTTTTACTATAAAATCCGCGCAAATTCTATCCAATTTGGCACATGCATTTTTATTTAAAATCATAGAAAAAAATATAATGTTTTAATTGCAAATTTATAATAATGAGTTTTCATGGGCTTTGTCGCTACTTTCTTTCATGTATATTTTGAATATGTGATATGTCAGGTAAATATTTCTTTTTCTTTTTTTCTTTTTTTTTTTTATCAAAAAGTAAATGCGCAGATTAATTGTATTATTAGTACAAAAAACATTCTTTTTATTAAATACTATGATTTGCCATATATTTTAACAAAAAAAAAAAAAACAATATTTTGAATACAAACGCTCGTTATAAACAAATTTTTAAATCAAACAATTTACCTTAATTTAAAGTTTATTATAATTGTAATGTTAAATAGATACGTAATATATCAATGTAAGTCTATTATTTAAAAGTATTTTATGAATGTTACTTATTTTCTTCATTTAGAATCTATCGATATAAATGTAAAATAAAAAAAAAAACCACTTTTCTCTCGAGATAACATAACACTTAATTTAAAAAAAATTTTTTTTATATACATTCAATTTTCAATATCTTAATATATTATTTTAATATAATAATAATTCATGCATAACGAGCAAACTACACATTTAATTATTTGAATACATTATTAAAACCGTATAGAAACTAAAATTAAATGACTCACTAATTTTTGTATTCGTTAATCTTAAGTCAAAGTACAAGAAGATTATAAATGGGAAGAAAATTCTATTAACCAGTAGTTTGTAATAAGGATATTAAATTTATATATTTTTAACCTTTGTTCTTGTTTTCAATATTGAAAATTACTCGGACAGACGAAAGAGAATTTTTTACGAAATTTGTACCAAAAAAAAAAAAAAAAAAAAAAAAAAAAAAAAAAAATCTTTTTCAGAAAATGACTTAGTGTTGGTGAAAAGGTTTTATTTGATATATTACTGACGTATCCACTATTAACGTGAATTGTTCGAACAACGTGGATTGGCGTTCAAATTTATACAGATATATCTTATAGGGTAAATTTATATGGCAATTCACATTGTTACGGTAGTTTACGTTGATAGTACGCATACAGCAAAAACATATGTGCAGTTCGTTAAAAGTATAGGAGTTCAACATATCTTTTGCATATAAACATGGTAATAATTTTTCACGTGTAATGGGCAAATTTTTGCATAAATTTGGCGTTTAAAATTGACTTGTCTTACTTTTTAAATGATATATACGTATTATATGAACGTCTTAAAGAATTATTAAAATGCTTCTTTAAAAATTATGTTCGTAACTATAATTATTTTATTTAATGATGCGTTAAATCCTACATTATTCGATGAAGAAATGAAAGCTTCTTCGTTCTGCCTGTTACTTCAAAAAAAAAAAAAGAAACAAAAAAAAAAAGAAACAAAAAAAGAAACAAAAATTATACAAAAAAACAATAAATAAATAAATAAATAAACATTAAAGCTATTTGGACTAATTTTGATTTGGCAAGTGTGAAATTATTGATAAGTTAGATTATTAAAGAAAAAAAGTATTATAAGAAACTGTCAAATACTCTCTTAAAAATCGGCTTTTTAACCGATAAAACGTACAGATATGGAAACACAAGTACTCATTAATAAAATATGTTACGAAAATATATAAACTAGACTCTTTAGAAACTAATCTAGGCAGTAAATTGAGGAACAACCTCTCGAGAAAAACTGTTTATCTATAAAGCTGTATTTTGTTTAATTCGTCAACGCATTCTGTATAAAAGATTTTTAAATATATCTCGATCAATGTCAATTCGTCGTCATAAATACGAGAAATCATTAAAAAAATTCGTAGCAGCTTCGAGTTTTTTTTTTTCTTTTTTTTTAATTATTTTCTCTCATTGCCCCAACGCGACACTCATAATCATCGACTCGGTGGCTTTATCAACTTCATTGAATCATTATTCTTTACAAAACTTTTTCGTCAATGCACAAATCAGTAACGTGAAACCCAAGTGAAAAATGGCGCACCCGTACAGAGGTCGACGCAAAAAGGGTCGAACCGAACAAGATGATGCCAGTTGGAGTTCGGGTCTCGAGTTTCGGATGGCTCGCGACTTTCTGCCATCCGACGACATCCTTTTTTCGCTTTTCTTCACCTTTGAGCTACTGCGACGTGTCACTGATACTTTTATCCTTGTTACTCCCTTTCTTGGTCGCCGTACTTAAAAATGTTTCAGGCGACATCGTACGAAGAAGTCACGCTCGGAGCACAGCATCCCAGTAAAATCGAGTAACCTCTAATGCCTTTATTTCTCTGAAATATAGAGATTTTCGAGCAATTTATTCGCACGATACGCACCCTATTTATTATAAGGATGAAGAGTTTCTAGTTAAAATATTTTCATTCGTTAACATAATTGTACTTAATATAAGTTTATTCATATATTTTAGCACGTAGCATCGTACATTGCAAATGAAATTTTATGCGAATTGCTTATTACCGGCCTGTTTTTTATGCTCATAATTTTAAAATTTCAGCAAAATAAATAATAAATATAATTTAGTTACTTTAAGAAGCTTGAGAAATTTCATCGTAAAAATTTTAAGTTTTTTTGGAACAATGTCGGGCATTATTAATGTATTGACAATGGTCGTATGATTTTAAGGGCAATCGCTAGATTTTCATTTTACGAGTCTTTCGCGAGCGGACGGATTGATGGGCTTTATTGTACTGTAAATTCCAACGACCTCACACCTCGTTATAAGAAAACTAACTATTGTAAAGTCGAATTGGCGCTTAACAAGTCCGTTTCTCTAAGCTTTTGTACTTCTATACGCGTTGGAAACGGCTCACATTGACCAGCAACTAACTGTAACGAAGTGATGATACTTTAAAATCAGCGGTAGATTTTGAAAAGTAGAAAACTCGCTTTATAAGCTAAAAACATCCGTCGGCCGAGCTCGCATCAACATATCCTTTCAGCCTAATATCCAAGGGTCGCTCTTTTCACGCGCATGTAATGTTTGTTTGGAATTGAAACGTCGGCTGCAATTAAAAAAGAGGGCAGCACCACGCCAGCTTTATTCGTAGGCGTTAATTCGAGTTAAGAGCGTCCGCCGGATTAAGCAAATTGGAGCGCATGCGTTTAGCGAACGAAGCCGAAAGTGACGAACGCGTGGTAGAAAATTAGAGCGTTGCTCGCCGCCGGATATCTCTCGCCGTACGTTGCGAGGTTGGCCAAATGATTTTTATACAAGAGCCGCGGATGACAGGGACCTCGGGGAATGCGAAATAGATTAGTCACGTAAAGCGGGGAATTTATTGGAAAATGCTTAGCATGCATCGACGTTTTTTGCTCTATCGGCCCCCCTCCCCCCACCGTCATCGGTATTTGGATGAGGCAAAGTAAGGGAGCGCGCGGACTGTGAGAAATAAATTGCGAGTACGACAATGTAGAATAGAAGTGGGCGACATCTTTGGATTCGCATATTGTCACTCGGCTGAACTTTAAGCTTTTATTCACACTGTTTTTCTAGTCAGAGGAACATCCGCCTCGTACGCCGCTCCTCTGGACTCCTTCACCTTCTACTACCGCATCGTCAGCCCCTTACCCCGCTCTTATTTTATCAGATAAAAGGTAAAACGGATCCTCTTGAGCAAATCCCTCAATTAAACTTCAAAATTCTCAAGGTGCTTATCGCCGGCGATTATCACTACCTTAGCCTTACCCTCGCCTTACCCTCGCCTTCCATCCTCCTGAAACGTCACTTTCCACCGGAGTTCCTCGTCCACCATCCGTATTATAAATATTATAAAAGTTCCGTAACCATGATCTACGTAGTTACGCGCATCCTCGTTTTCTATCTGTCATTTTTCATGTTGTTGTTGTTGTTGTTGTTGTTGTTGTTGTTGTTGTCATTGTTATTTATTTTTATAGATGCTGTAAAGTGTGTGCACGAGTGGAAGGTGAACCATGTGGCGGTCTATTTGGCTTTTCCGGGAGGTGCGCTATTGGCTTGCAGTGCTTAATTAAGAATTTGGTGCCTCATCCTCGCGAGTCCGCTGTAGACGAAGGGATTTGTACGAGTAAGTGGCTTTTCTCTTTGCCTTAGCGTCAACTATGAAATTCGAATGTACATTAATTGCGATTTGCTGGACGCATTTTAAAAACTCTAGTTTAGCAGATGCTTGGCAGCAGCCTGTTTAAATAATTATACCTAAAGCTTCACTGCATTAGTTCATTTAGACTCGGTAGTCTCGTGCAGTTATTCCTAAGTAAAGAAAACACTTCATCGATATATAGTCGTTAATAAAACACAGCCGTCGTGTGAATATTTAAGCAAATCATGTGAAATTAATTATTTTTCTTAATCACATTTTGATCCGCTTAATTTAATGTATAATACATTTGTATATATATATATATATATATATATATATATATATATATATATATATAACTTGCTATTGAATGTGAGAAATTTTATCTTTTTTCATTTGAGTGATATATATAGTTTTTTTAATTATTCGATATACAGATTTGAGACAATTTAATAATTTAATTCAAAGCTTTGTAAATATTTTTTTTATAGAGTTTATAAATATAATATCATTTTTTATTCATGACGCTATATATTGTTAAGATAAGGTTATATATTTTTCATCATTCAAGTATTGATTACAGAAATAACAGTTTTATGCCCAAATTAAGTATTGAAATATCGATTTGTAAATTAGGATTTCTAGTTTTTATTTCATTTACATATTTTTTATAGTTATACTATATAGACAATAATATAATAAAGTGTTAAATCTTGTTAAATTAAAATTTTCATTGAAATTAAAAGGAAAATAAAATAAGAATGACATTTTATAGTACATATAATATTATATTTAATTGATCATTTTTTTCTTACCTTCGGCTTTCAACGTAATTCATATAATATTTTTAATAAAATTAAATCACGTTTTAGATTTAATGAATTTTAAAAAGAACGATGCATGTCTTGAATCTTAATAAATATTTATATATTTATTTTTTAAATAGCTTCTTAAATATTGAATATTCATCTATAAAGGTTTTTTTGTCGTTGAAATTTTATTAAATCAGATTGCAGCTTTTTATAAAATGATTGAAATGTGTAAGTTAAATTGTAAATGCCTTCTACTCGATTGAACAGAAATTTTAAATTTTAATCTTTTTAAATAAATAAATTTCATATATGTATATATATATATATATATATATATATATATAATTACACATTATTAATACTATTATTATTATTATTATTATTATGAAAATATATATATATATATATATATAAATATATATATATATTATGAAACATAATTAAATAACAAGGCATTAATATATTTACTTTTAGTATTACAAAGACTTTGAAACACATTTTCACTTATCCTCTCCACCATAACTTTTGATGTATATGAGGCTTTTCATTGCAAATGCAAATGACAAATGAACAACTTTGTAAAATATTCATGTATAATACTTATTAAAAATATATGTAACAATTCGAAGTAAATAATTTCAATTGAGATTATTAAATTAAAAATTGGTAACGATAATTATTAAATGTAATACTATATTGAATATATCAGTGTGATTACACACATTTTTGTATCTTAATTATTTATAATCATATTTATTTCTATTATGCTTAAAATTCATTTGACCTACTCATACAATTAATTATTATTAAGTTATTATTATTTGAAATATTTCAATAAAATTTAATATTACTTTCAAAATAAAATGTTGTGTTATTGATATTCAGTTATTTAAAATACCAAAATCTGCACAAGTTTATGAATTAATTAAAAATATGATAGATTTTTATTTAGAAGTAACAAATTTATATAAGTTATACATCGCCTACGCAGTCTATAGATAATATTAATATGTATGTAAATTTTAATTCCAAGTATTTGTATTTATATAACATTGCAAATTATAGATGAAAATATTTAAACTTTAATTATCTTTATTTATAATAACTGTTTACTTATATTTTATTAAAATATACGAAGAAGTTGAATTTAATGGCTATGTGATACTGGCGTACATTATTAAAAGCAATACTTTAGAACATTTATAATTTTAGAATGTTACATACTTAGAAAGTAATATAGAGCGGTTAAGAAAAAGTTTTCACTTGTGATAATGGAACTAACAATGATAGTCTACGGCATGAATAATGCTATATAACTTGATATCTTACATCTTGATAAAAATTTTCTTAAATTCATAAACGATCGAACAACTTACGCCTGTAAATCAAATTGAATAGTTTCATTTGAATTATTGTTATTAATTGTAATTCCAATGGAAAATAATAGAATTGCATCGGAATTAAAACGAGAATGGAGTATTATTGTTAATATTAAATATTAATTATTATTAATGATTGTACTATATGTATTGCGAACTTAATCAAGCATGCCAGAGAGTAAGAAGGTGAATGTTGAATATGAGCTATTGTGAGTACTGTATACGCTTTAATTTGACTCATGGCAAGCTATAACGAACAATCGATTGGCGCCATCATCACAAACGATGTTGCCAATCGCGAATTTGCTATCGTCAATGATTGGATTAATTTCTTTTTTCATAACGATATAAGTATAATAACGAAAATAATAAACATGTGCGAATATTCGAGCGGAAAAGTACTGCACCGGACAAAGGGTGTTAGCTCTGAGCTCTGACACCCTTGTGCCGTGCGAAGAATAATGTTATTCGGAAAATGAGGGGATTGCAATTCGATATCCCCTGTTACCATTCCTATAAATGCGAACAATTGCATCTGTGAGCGCCACTTTGTTGTGTGAAAATTGAAGCGATGACGAATTACGTTTGCAATTGGAGTGCTTATTTTTTTTTACACACGAAGGTCTTGACGAGTGCTCTTGTGAGTACCTTCCGTACGAAAATGTCACGTTTACTGACTGCCTCCGTATAATTCTCCTTACTGACGATTCGCTTTTTTCTGCCGTTCATCTAACAGTGATTGAACAAATCATTTTACAAATCATTATAACTGGGTAGAAATGCGGAGAAAGTTTAATCGAGAAGGAGTGATTTGAGCGTCATTGAGGAAGCAGGCATTTATGATTATTAATGGTACTGATTATTAAATAAATACTCGCCGCCCAAGCTGGATTTTCACGATTCTCGCTAAAATTGTGATTTAACTTGGGATATTGCAATAGAGCTAAGCGTGGACAATTCTTTCTTAGGAGGAAAAGTCAAGAAACGCATGACATCGGTATTAAGATGAACGGATGTTTGCGAGATTTGAGTGGCTTGATTTTTCTGCGCTAGACAATACAAACAAGATGGATGATATCTCTGGGGAAATAGCGCTAAGAAGATTTTAGAAAATTGGAGAAAAACGGGAAATACGTATAATCAGCGAGAGTTCGCTAAATATGTACAAAAAACAACATGTGTGTGTGTGTGTGTGTGTGAATTTTCGGCGCTCAGTTTTATCAAGAAAACTGCGTTGTTAATATACTCAGTATTTAACAAATCGCTTCAACTTTTAAACGAAAAAACTATATGAAAGTATGGCGATGATAAAATTGTAAATTTACTCCATCAGTTTAACATCTTTACCAAGTGGTTTATTTTGATGAAAATCGACGAAAAGCGTGAATTCCCGTGGCTCCAATATGTAACTAATTCAAGAATTTTCATTATTTCTGTCTAATGAATTCAACTTGTACTTATTATAGAGGTTATAATAATTATTAATAACTCTTAAAAATGTTTTTTCATATTAATTTTGTTACTAACTCTATAATTTTTATAAGAACTCATTACACGCATTGTATATCCCTTTAAGATAAAATGACTGTTATGGTTTACGAATATTTCATTAGTATTTCATACGCTGTATTAGTTAAATAATCTATCGATACTTAAGGATTTAATTAGACATTGTACATTAAAAGTAGTATAGAAGATTCAAATGGCAATGTAATTGAAATCCATACGATTACTCAATATATGTCTATATATAATTTAATTTAATTTTGTTAACGATGGTTATACTTTATGAATGAAAATTTTTTCTTTTATTCTAATTATGATGCTAGATTGGAAGGCTTTATAAAATTAAATTTATTTTAGAATATCGTTAAAAATTTATTAATAAAGTTATTTTAATCATTCGGTAAGTATTTTTTCTGCATGAAGATGAAGCAAAATTAGAGGAATTATGCGAGTTATACACATAATTTTTTTCAAATAAAATGATTAAAAATACTTTTAAATATTATGCAATATAAGATTTAAAAAGATAATAAAATGGACATCAGAATGTTATAATTTAATAATAATGTTTTTATTAATATTAAAGCTCTTCTTAAAGGTTTCGAGGCAAGAAACAATTTCAATATATTCCAAATTTTCAATTTATTCCAAATCCAGTATTTGTTTAAAATAGTATAGATATATTATTGCATATTTAGTCTATTATTAATTTTTATACATTATATGTAAAATAAATTTGACTAAATTTAAATTAATTAAAAATATATAATTTTATGTTATATATATATATATATATATATATATATATATATATATATGGTAAAGTATACGTTCCTTTATTACTAATGCAGTCTCATCTATTTGATTTTAATTCAATTACTGCATTATCTGTCCAAACAGACTTTAGAGAACTTTAAGAGGTTAAAGTGCGTTTTTCGTATTTTACATATATTTGAAAATTATTTGGATTTAGAGAAATTAAGTTTATAATTTCGTGCAATATAATAACAACCATCGTTTCTTTGAATTTAACCTACAATAAGAATGAATTTTCATCGATTGTTTCTCAGGTTAATATACCGAAACACTTTATTTCAATAGTGTGTTCATTTTAAATAGACTGAATATTAGATTTTTACTACAAATTTCCTTTTCAGAATATATTTTTTCAAGTATTTTTTCCGCACATAGATAAGAAATTTTCGTTATAAAGAGTAAACAAAAAATATATTTATGCATGAATAATAATATTATAAATATTTATATAATCTTTCACATCCTTAATGCA